CCCCTCAGTCATCAGGTGTTTTTTTTTATATAACTTATCAAATGTTTACCCAATGCTATTTACCATTTCTGCATAAATAATATTATCGTTTTAGTAATCCGGTGTGGAATATTAGGTACTGAGAATGATTACGGTGAACACTGCACAAATTACCCGGAATATAGAAAGAGAACATAAGGTATTTCATAATATTAATACTAACCTATTGGGGACTTCATATATTCCATAGTTTAATACACGAATCATTATAGTCTCACTTCTTTGTTGGCCCTTAGTATGTAACAGAAATACTAATTTACAAAAAAAAAGAAAACATATGAATAAGGCAACGGATATTAAAAAAAAAGTTTCTTTGGGTGAATTATATATATATATATATATATATATATATATATATATATATATATATATATATATATATATATATATATATTTATATATATATATAGATATATATATATATATATATATATATATATATATATATATATATATATATATATATATATATATATATATATATATATATATATATATATATATATATTATCATTACAAGATATAACATGAATATTTTAACAAGACCTTTTATAAATGTTTGTGTACATAATTGTTTTGAAGGATTATGTGTTTGGGAAGAAGCTTACGAGGGAGACCAAAATGCTGAATATAACAACTCGTGTTCACAACCCCCTGAATGAGAATTGTGGAGGCTCTAAGGTTATTGAAGACTAGCGTAAGACAAGTTTAGGTTAAATTAGAGTATCGTAAGACATTATTAGGTTACCGTCGTTCAACAATATTAGATTAGCATATAATTTTGTTTCATTAAATGTGGATTCCCTTATTATACCTACACAGCTAACAGATTACTTATGGCTTTATAAGAAACCTAACCATATCTAGAAAGATCTAACTTAAACCCTAAACGTCAGCTTAAGGAAATAAAAAAAAGATACCTATAACTATTACATGAACTAATACAATCTAATCATTGCCTTTACAATAGCAATGCAATATATCAATAAAACCTAAACTACAGATCACGTGTGACTATTTAAAAAGACGTGGTCATTATTTGTCCACACAATAAAGGGAGTGTAGTTGAACCGCCAATAGCTATGGTGCAGCACACGATACGGCACGGCGTGAAAGTCTACGGTGCCAGCCTGCCACGTTTTACTATCTTCGCCCCAGTCTCTCTCCCACTCACCTCAATTAGTGTTTACTCATTAAAGCGTTTTATAACTCATTATAACGTGACCTTACGTGATATATATTTCTTGATGTTTACTTTTATAGTTCTACACCTCGAGCCCTTACTCCCTCCTCCTGTCCCCTCAGTCATCAGGTGTTTTTTTTTATATAACTTATCAAATGTTTACCCAATGCTATTTACCATTTCTGCATAAATCATATTATCGTTTTAGTAATCCGGTGTGGAATATTAGGTACTGAGAATGATTACGGTGAACACTGCACAAATAACCCGGAATAGAGAAAGAGAACATAGGGTATTTCATAATATAAATACTAACCTATTGGGGACTTCATATATTCATAGTTTAATACACGAATCATTATAGTCTCACTTCTTTGTTGGCCCTTAGTATGTAACAGAAATATTAATTAACAAAAAAAAAGAAAACATATGAATAAGGCAACGGATATTAAAAAAAAAGTTTCTTTGGGTGAATTATATATATATATATATATATATATATATATATATATATATATATATATATATATATATATATATATATATATATATATATATATATATATATATATATATATATTATCATTACAAGATATAACATGAATATTTTAACAAGACCTTTCATAAATGTTTGTGTACATAATTGTTTTGAAGGATTATGTGTTTCGGAAGAAGCTTACGAGGGAGACCAAAATGCTGAATATAACAACTCGTGTTCACAACCCCCTGAATGAGAATTGTGGAGGCTCTAAGGTTATTGAAGACTAGCGTAAGACAAGTTTAGGTTAAATTAGAGTATCGTAAGACATTATTAGGTTACCGTCGTTCAACAATATTAGATCAGCATATAATTTTGTTTCATTAAATGTGGATTCCCTTATTATACCTACACAGCTAACAGATTACTTATGGCTTTATAAGAAACCTAACCATATCTAGAAAGATCTAACTTAAACCCTAAACGTCAGCTTAAGGAAATAAAAAAAAGATACCTATAACTATTACATGAACTAATACATTCTAATCATTGCCTTTACAATAGCAATGCAATATATCAATAAATCCTAAACTACAGATCACGTGTGACTATTTAAAAAGACGTGGTCATTATTTGTCCACACAATAAAGGGAGTGTAGTTGAACCGCCAATAGCTATGGTGCAGCACACAATACGGCACGGCGTGAAAGTCTACGGTGCCAGCCTGCCACGTTTTACTATCTCCGCCCCAGTCTCTCTCCCACTCACCTCAATTAGTGTTTACTCATTAAAGCGTTTTATAACTCATTATAACGTGACCTTACGTGATATATATTTCTTGATGTTTACTTTTATAGTTCTACACCTCGAGCCCTTACTCCCTCCTCCTGTCCCCTCAGTCATCAGGTGTTTTTTTTTATATAACTTATCAAATGATTACCCAATGCTATTTACCATTTCTGCATAAATAATAATATCGTTTTAGTAATCCGGTGTGGAATATTAGGTACTGAGAATGATTACGGTGAACACTGCACAAATAACCCGGAATATAGAAAGAGAACATAGGGTTTTTCATAATATAAATACTAACCTATTGGGGACTTCATATATTCCATAGTTTAATACACGAATCACTATAGACTCACTTCTTTGTTGGCCCTTAGTATGTAACAAATATTAATTAATAAAAAATAAAACATATGAATTAGGCAACGGAAATTAAAAAAATAATTTCTTTGGATGAATTTTTTTACTTGGAGTACTTCTCTCATATCTGGTGTGGCTCTTCTTCTCTCCAACTGTTAGATAGGGTGGAATCAAAGGCATTTCGTCTTATTAACTCTCATACTTTAGTTGACAATCTTTCTTTCCTTTCTCTTCGCCGCAATGTTGCTTTACTCTCTCTCTTTTACGGGTACTTTAACGGGCAATGTTCTGTCAATTTGGCATCCTGTGTACCGCCGACAATGCCGTGGGCTCGTAACACACTTCTTGCCCGCGGTGCCCACCATTTCTCCGTGGATGTCGGTCACACTAGAATAACTATTCATAGTACATCCTTATTTCCTCACACAGCCAAACTGTGGAATGCTCTGCCTTCTTCTGTGTTTCCACACTCATACAATCTGTCTCACTTTAAAAAGATGGTTTTCCGGCAACTTCATGGTGTAGATTAAAACACAATCCCACGGAGGAGTTGCCAACACATGTGTAATGAGTGAGTGTTATGGAGCTGTGGTGAGATAATCACACTCTCTGCACCAACTCATATAACGAGTGCTGCTGTGATGACTAGCACTGTTGGAGATAGTTGAAGTTGTGTGATGTCAACTGTGAGTGTTCTGGTGATCCCCACTAGCTAACACCACACATTGTGTGTATATGAAAGCGCCAGTTTTGTCCCTGTGTAACAGGGGTTTTGTAGATAGCACATAGTAAATATGTCAACAATATCATTGTGTTACCTGTAAAGCCCTTAATTACTTGCAAGGCACTGACGAGGGTTAAGGTGAAAACGTAGTTAAAAGATTAGATTATGTATTTACAATAACAGCCACTGTAACACACACAAGATAGGGGAACACACCCAACATGAAGGGTCACAAGAGTGCGGACTAAAGGGCGTCTTTGAGAAACAACACTGCAGGCATTATTGGTACAGGACATAGTTAATATGATGTAACATGCATGGATACATGAATATCTTACACGCACACACACGCACTCATAGCATCATAAACGCATGAACGGTTCACGTGAAGCTCCGTAAAGCTCGTGTCGGTTCTGGCCTCCCTTGAACAAACCTCACCTCACCTCACTACAACTACTTTAAGTTTACTCCTCAACAATATAGCGAGTGGAACTTACAGTGGCAGATAATTTTCTACTTGAGGCGTCGTTGCAAAAATCACAACACCATCACATATTACACGGGGCGCTGCTGCTCCACCCAGAGTTATCACCACGGTGGAGGTAAAGATGGGATGTAGACATATGAGCAAGCAAATTTATTTAGAATGCTTGAATGTTTGTATATAGAGGCGGTATATGTTTATTGTATACTTTTAACAATATGCTTTTGTTTAAGTTTCTCTCGCCTTTCTTTTTACCCTAAATGACTTCTCGTTTCTCTTCTCTAATGTTTCTAAAGACCTTATACTTAATACAACTTTATCATCCTGTCTTAGTTACTCTCACTGTCCAGTTTCCGCTCCCTTTCCTCTGTGATCAAGAGAGGATATAACAATACTCTTACCATTTTCTCTCAGCCATTTCCCCCTTTCCTCTTCATCCAGTTTTATTCCTTAGTATTTCATTCTTTCCTTTCATTCCCTGATAAAATATAGCCCAGTTACCATCTCTCCTTGCCTCACACACTCTCTCTCACCCTCCCTCACTTGCTACGACTCTTGGTTTCCTCATTTTTCACCGGTGTTACTCGTTTCTCTTATTCTTTCTTTCACACCATACATTTTTCTTACTATTTTTTCCTGTTTCCTCCTATTCCCCTTTCTTTCATTCTTTTTCTTGTTTCTTCCGTTTCTTTTTCCTTCTTTCTCTCGTGTCAAAGATTTTTCATTTTCTTTTCTTCTCATGCGTCACCCGTTTCTTCTTTCTGTCAACGGATGCTCTAATTCTTTCTCACGTTAACCATTTCTCTTACATTTTGTCTTGTTTTATTTGTTTATCTGATTTTTTTCCCTTCAGGACATCAATTTCCGCTACTCTGTCCTCTCTAACACAATGGTCTCACTTCGATTCTTATCTCTTTGTTTTTATCTCTCTCTTTGGTATCAGATATCCGCATGTACCAGTCATATGGCCGAGAGGTGTGTAGAGAGCAGTGGCCCGACGAGGTTCTCCGTCAGTACTACACTATGGCCCTCATGATTCTTCAGTACTTCCTCCCGCTCGTTGTCCTCATCTTCACCTACTCGAGGTCAGTGAGAGGTGGTTCCAATCATTCATTTTTATTCCGAGGTCAGTCAGTAGTCGCCATCATCATCCACACTTCTGATACACCAGGTCAGTCAGTAGTCGCCATCATCATCCACACGTCTGATACACCAGGTCAGTCAGTAGTCGCCATCATCATCCACACTTCTGATACACCAGGTCAGTCAGTAGTCGCCATCATCATCCACACTTCTGATACACCAGGTCAGTCAGTAGTCGCCATCATCATCCACACTTCTGATACACCAGGTCAGTCAGTAGTCGCCATCATCATCCACACTTCTGATACACCAGGTCAGTCAGTAGTCGCCATCATCATCCACACTTCTGATACACCAGGTCATTCCGTAGTCGTCCTCATTAACGCATATTTGATGTCAGTGTTATGTAGCTTAGGGTAAGTTCTAAATAGTCCTAGGTTAAGCCTTCAAGGATCAAGATAAATAATGTTATAGGTTAGGTTAAGTGATTATAGGTAATTGGTGATATCTCCGCTAAGCTTCAAGCCGTTCTTGAGAGGTACTAAATACTGTGCTTCAACATCTTAGGTGTTCAAGTGCGTAATAAGGTTGGTAATTACACTTTTGTCCATCAATAATTGAAAACTAAGATTTACTCCTCTAATTTACTCCTATTAATTTTACATATATTATTTAATTATTTATTTAGTTTTATTTATCTGATATATTTATTTTATGTATTTACTTATATAATTCTATATAGAATGCTGTAAAAGAGGATTTAATAATGGGGATCACACAATTCAAAGGAAAATCAGAAGCAATAAAAAACATAAATGACTACGAAAAGAAATGGAAAATACGGACAAACATCAACAAATTTAAAATCATACCAATTGCCAAGAAAAAGGTCGAACCAGTAATAGTAGATGGAGAAATTTACCCATACACCAACGAAGGCAGCATCCTGGGACTGAAACTCTCAACAATTGGTTACCAGAGCTTCATCAACGAAAAAGTCCACAAACTACGTAGCAAACTCTCAAAAATAAACAGATCCAAAAACCTGAACATACCAAACAAAACAAAATCATATACGACGCTAATAAAATCCGTAATGTGCTACCCGCCTGTACCACCCAACTCATCCAGTGCAACGAGAATCAAGAAACTTCAAACGGAACAAAATAAAAGCCCAAGATTCATATATAACATCAGCTAAAAAGAAAGAATAACAAACGAAGAACTCCATAGAAGAGCCAACAGTAACGCAGTAAACATAGACATCTACAACCAAAGCAAAAGAACATAGGAACATGTACGAGAGTTAGACTAAAAAACTGTAGTTAACTGGCTCGACAACGAACCAGTAAGAAGAACACGCTTGGTTCAGATTAAGCAGAAAAGGAGTCAACAATCCACCACCAATACCAAAATACAATCGAGATTATCAAATTTAATACAAAAACAAAAAGAACGGTATAGCCAAATAAATACTGTCAATGCCTGGCCTTTGGGATATAAATCCCTTGCCAGCCTAACCAGGATCTTATAAAAAGGAAAGTCAAGAACCATTGGTTTCCAAGGGGTAACAAACAACCGTTAGAGATAGGTAGGATGAGGTATAGAGAAAGTGGGAAGAGGAGGGAAACAAAACAAAACCCTAAAGCATAAAGTGATAGACTAACTTCGAGGTGAGACAAGATTCTTTGATTACCAGACACATGCATCAAGTACTGAGATATGATTGCCTTGATTATATATTCTCAGTCGTTCAAGAGAACGTGTGTGTTGGTGTGGGGATTAGTGGATGACATCATTATGACCTGACCTCATGTTTTAAGGTCACCCTGTATATTTAAGCCTCTCTCTGTCCATGTAATCCAGTTGCCTCTGAAGGTGTCTTCAATATAGACGAAAGCTAAGGTGCTCCGTTGTTTCCCTTTTCCCGTGTGATTTTATCAATATATATATATATATATATATATATATATATATATATATATATATATATATATATATATATATATATATATATATATATATATATATATATATATATATAACAAAGAATTATGTCTGTGTCCGCACGAGAATCTCGGAAACTACTTTGCCGATCTGTAGTGATGATGGATGGTGTTATATGTAGTGATGATGGATGATGTTATATGTAGTGATGATGGATATTGTTATATTTAGTGATGATGGGTGGTGTTATATGTAGTGATGATGGATGGTGTTATATGTAGTGATGATGGATGATGTTATATGCAGTGATGATGGGTGGTGTTATATGTAGTGATGATTAGACAATAAAATAATAACAGTGTAATGCTAAAAAAATATGCTTTGCTGTACCGTTGTAGTGAAAAACATGGTACAACTTACATACACCGTTCATGAACTATTGATGAAAGAAGAAGTTTTGGGAACTGAACAGAGAGACAATGTGGAGCCACCCGGAGGGCGACGATTCTGCTAGTACTTGAATATATATAGTTGCATATATTGTGAGAGTGAACCTGGTAAACCACCCAAACGTGTTTTATTAAATTTTCACGGGTCTGCTGTGTGTGTGTGTTTTTCATGCTCTGTCGTGAAATATTCAGCACATTGTTTTCCTCTCTGTCTCTGTCTCTCCATCTCTGAGATATATAAGCTACAGGCAGTGATTTAATACATCAGGCATGACGATAAACCTAATTATAACGCTTCAGCCCCTCAAGTGTGATAAGGACTTCATGAGAACAGTGAATTAATCCGTACAACTTGCCAGACAACCAAACAACTCAGATATGAAACTCTACCCAGAGTACGGTGTTAAATTTCTACTGATGCAATGACAATCTGTTGAGTACGATAACAACCTCACCAATATAACATCCATCGGAGTACAATAACAAATCCTCAAGCACAATTATATGATCACCAGAGTAAATAATAACGTTATCAGTACCACGACGCCATCACCAGAGTACATCTATAATAGCTACTAAAAAATAGTCATATAATTAGTAGTACAACAATCTAAGCAGTAATACTAATATGACTAATTACTCAGATCACAAAAACAATTATTTCTTCAGTAAACAAATTCTGGCAGTACATTATTCTAAATAACTTGGACAATAAACCTCGCATGGAAATTAACGAAACCCAAAGAAACCCTGGAGGAATATTCTTTAAAACCAACATTACTACTTGACAATAAGGACAACACACAAGACGCGGTGCCGTTCGCCGATATACAACACGAGTCTTCTATAAGTTAGTTGAAAGCTTCCGTTTTCTGTCATAAATGTCTACAGCTAAAATGTTGCTATTAAATCACACATTTTCTATGGTTGGGGAAGGGCAACTCAACCCAACTATTAGCAGAATATATGAATGATGTATATGTTATAAGATATATGAAAGAAGTTACTAGTGAGCATAAAGACTTGCATAAATAAGACTGCTAATATTGGATATTGATTTGTGAGGCAGGGCAGAAGCAAGGGTGCTGGGATATCTTATGCCGCCATCTCCCTCTCTCACCCTGACTATGGTAAATCTTGGTTGTATGGTATGATTTAGAAAACTAAATAAATAGATATTTTGGAAGCTGCTACTCAATAGTCATAAGCTGGGATTCAGGAAGAAGTGCTCGGTGGAGGGCATTTTTTTCCTAAATTGAAAGTAGGGGAACAAACTCATGTCCCCCCAGTCATGGTATTTTATGTCACGGGGGAGAGGGGTGACAAGTGACCTTTCAGTCGAGGAAAGTTTTTTCATTACCCAAAATTACCCTCTCACTCTACGCATTTGCTACTTAAAGTACAAAATTAAAATAAAAGGCGACAGATGGTGGTAGATGTAGGTCATTATTGAAGTGTTTAAGCACCCCGTGTGAACAAGTTTATTTCATCATGTTTCATATATTACATTTCATACCTTTGTACTTATATGTTTAATTAATCAGTTAATTTAAATTATTCTAACAGTAAGTAATGTGTGTCTTTGTACCTGATATGCATATATTGCTTCATATATATATATATATATATATATATATATATATATATATATATATATATATATATATATATATATATATATATATATATATATATATATATATATATATATATATATATATATATATATATCTTCCGCCAAAATAGATCTATCAATTGTTTCACTGTATATTCGGTATAAGTATTATGTGAAATTAAATTTCATTCCATATGAGATTTCAATTAAAAATGTATACCGGTGCGTTTGTGTGTGCTTGTGAGTGTCTGCGTGGACTGCGTGTGTATGTGTGTGCATGCGCGGGTGTGCGTGGTAAAATAACTGACAAATAACCGTTTAAAGCTGGTGTCAGACTGAACCTTGGACATCACAATCACCTGACCCTCACGTGACATACCTACTAAATATACTGTACACGACTGACCACTGGCCATATTACTCTAGTTCCGTGCTGACACTTTTTTAAACAAGATGTCATCAGATACTGTGTAAGACGTGTTCCAGCGAGAGTTGTTGAAGCTGCATGGTGAGTGCAAAAACTATCTTTTTGTAAAAAGTTGAAACTGCAATAGCATGGAAAGTGTGAGACCGGCTGCTGCAAGTACCCAGACTAAGAGTAGAAGTGATTATTATTACTTGTTCAATTAGGTTGATTGGTTATAGTTGCGGTGGTCGTTATAAGAGTATTGGCTGTGCAGGAAGTCGTGTTTGTCAACTGTGTTTTGTTATAAAGGTTCACCGAGTGTTTGAAGATTTTCTGAACTGTATTTAGTATTTTGCTGATCAATAAAATACTTATATTTTGTTTCTTAAGTTTAATAAACGCCTAAGAGTTATAAGTAAAATGCTGTAAGACGACAAAATTATATGCTTTAAGAGCCATATATAAATCGCGTTCACAGCCCAGCAACAAAAGTTGTCAGTAGCAACACCTGTATGGCGCTCACTCCCTACACATTGCGGCAGACATAACTCCCTACACTGGATATCTCCCAACTAACTGCACCTA